GTGTGTGTGTGTGTGTGTGTGTGTGTGTGTGTGTGTGTGTGTGTGTGTGTGTGTGAGTGTGTGTGCATTTGTGTGAGTAGGCAGAGGTCAACTCGTCACCAGCATTAGGTTCTGTGTGCGGATTAAATTGTATGTGCGTGCTTGGTACGGTTTTATAATAAAGGCATATGAAAACACACTATATGGGGCACTTTGCCTGTCATGTGTCAAGGACACCTCTAATTTCAGAGAACTTGTTATGCCATCTTCTAGGGTGCTGCGAATGGTCGTCTTAACCTAAATCCCCACGAACTTAAAAAACAGGAAACCATGACAACAAAATGAAAAAAAAAGAAACACGAAAATATGCGAAACAGCAAGGCTGGAATAGTGAACTTATATTCTAAATACTGCCCAGAGTACTGAAAATGAAAATCAGAGAACTGATGGAAGCAGGGTTACCGTTAACCACCATAGATCGCGAAAAGTATCATTGATCAATTTACTTTTAAAAAGTACACGAAAATTGGGCGAGAATTGTAGTTGTGTTATGTGCCATATTACGAGGAAGATGGAGGTCGGGGTGTTCATGTCAACTCGCTATAGTATCTTGTTGCCTGGATTTAGCAATTGAAATTATCTCCGCCGTTTCGAGCATGCAAATATGGCAAGCCCCGATCACGATAGCTTACGCTGCGGCATAATGCATTGTCATGTGCAGAAAGGAGGAACATAAAAGAAGTATGAAGATGCAAACAGGGATGGACGATCCACTTAGCAACGGATAAGTTATCGGAGAAGGAGACCGCTGCGGTGCAACATTTACGAGATTGAGTGCAAGCGGAGAATCGGACGGTCTGGACATCCACGTACAACGGGCCAACAAAAGAAGAACTAACACTAACCGGGCATAATTTGAGCTTGATACTGTATCAAGGCAATTGGTTAAACAACGAAATAGTTAACTTTTATTTAAACCTCGTAAGGCTTTACAACATGTGTCGCATAAGCCATCGCGAGTGTGATAGTGGACAAGACGGAACAGTAGTAGAAAGAAAAGGGCGCATCCCGATAACAACAATTTGTAGTTCCTTCTTCTTCGCGAAATTGTTCGACGACGACATGCAATACCAATACAGCGTAGTGCAGAAGTGGATGACAAATATCGATGTGGGTGACGTGGACTTAATAATAGCCCCATTCCATGTCCGGAATTCCAACCATTGGACACTAGTAATAGCTGACCTAAGGCGCCAAAAAATAGAGTACTACGACTCGCTTACGCCTGACAAAGAATTGGCAAGGAAAGTGACAGGTGGTTTCGCAAGATTCTTGTTCGAAAGATCGGTTGAACAGGGAAAGGCGGTGGATACAAAAGATTTCAACCACATATGGAATGTGCGAGGCATTCTAAGACAGCGCGGCAGGGTGTCTTTATGCTAACATATGCGTCATTGTTTGCAAGAGGATTTCTCCCGCCATTCAACTTCTCTTTCGACGGCATCCACAATATAAGGGGACGGATCGCTTTAGATGTACTTGTCACACCGAAATAGGAGTTACTTGTGCAACAAATGACATTTGATAGACGACATTATGAAAGCAAAACATTTGTTTATTTTTTTGCAAATGTAAAAAGATCATTGACTCTGCTTGATAGACACGCATGAAAATGTCCGAATGTATTTAACAAAGCAACAACGCGACATGCCCAATTGAATACCATTCATGTGTTACTTCATATGACCTCATACCCCTTACCCCTTACCCCTTACCCCTTACCCCGTTACCCCCTATACCCATAAAACACTGCATAAAATACATACACAAATCGGAAAAAAATGAACTTTCAATTTCGCGCAAAAAATAAAAAATGAACGTTTTGACGAAATCGCAGTTCTTGACAAGTGCGAGAACGTGTCGTGCCTGCCGTCGTACTAGGACACAGACCTGGAAAAGCGGAAGGATCTGCAGGTGCCTCTCGCCTTCGAGAAACCGCTGTGGGATGCCATGCAATGGAAACTGAACAGACCATCCATGATATGCGACCAGACATTGGGCTCTGAGGACCTGCCGGGAGCGGGAGAAGGACCGCCGCCTTCGGGAAGAAGTGGATCCGGAAAAAGCGGGTTTGAGGCAAGAGGAACAGACGGCTCGGAGGGCGCAGCGAAGATGTGAAGAACGTCGTCAGGGAAAACAAGGATGAACGACGTTGGGACCGGCGGATCGACTTTGGCGAGGGCGATGGAGGAGTCGACACGATCCTACTGCGATGGTCTTGACAAGGCCGCTTCTACATTGCGAAGGCAACCTCGAGATGTGGCGGAGGCGATAAGAGGAGGGAACACTGTCCTCGAGATGCTCGTAGGGGTTCTCGCCCATCGCTATGTGGGGTCTGCCGATGGTGACACGAACCCGTCGTCTATGTGATATATATATATATATACATATAGATAGATAGATAGATATATAGATAGATAGATAGATATAGCAGCGACATGGTGGATCGGCACCGGGCAGAACCGCATGGGGACACAGACTGACACAAACAGGCATATTTCTGTTTCCGTGTCTGCGTGTGGGCCCATGCGGTTCCGGCGGGTACTGATCCGCAGTGTCACCGTCACAGGATCATGTAGGAACCGGTGGGACTGGCAGCGGGTCGGGGGAGGTTGTCAGTATCCCGTCCACTTCTTCTTGGCAGATGACAGAGCTCCCAACAGGGAAGCGTTGCGGAGGAGCCTTTATGCCGTGTTTGCGGTGGAGAGTTGTGGGGGAAAAGTTTTCGCCAGCTTGTGTGTGTGTGTGTGTGTGTGTGTGCGTGAGAGAGAGAGAGAGAGAGAGAGAGAGAGAGAGAGAGAGAGAGAGAGAGAGAGAGAGAGAGAGAGAGGGGGAGAGAGAGAGAGAGAGAGAGAGATGACGGACGTCGCCAGCGTGGTGGAGGAGGTAGTCGACGGCAAGCTGGTCTTCATCCAGGAGGCAAGGTTCGAGCGGGGGACCGAGCGCCATCGCCGCATGGAATGGACTCGCAAGAGAAACTGTCAAAAATTGCATTTTCAACAGTGGTGTGGTGAGGCCCTTTATCTTTCCCGCCCCCGAAAAGAAGAAGAACAAGTACAAGAAGGAAAAACGAAATAAAAAGCGCCAGTGTTCGAATCTGGACGAGAAGAGGCAAACAGAACAAAAAAGAAAGGAAAAGCATCGCACTGGGGGCATCACCACTCTCGAAATTTGCAAAATGAGAATAAAATTCCCGCTAGAACATGGCTAGATGCACCCTACACACTTTTGTCTTTTTCACATTTCCAGAGTGGTGCAGCGAGGCCCCGGAACTCATGTGTGCTAGCGAAGGTGGTTGCCCGGTGGCCGGCAGTGTTTGCTTCATTGCCCGCCTGCATCGCAGGAGTCTGCTTTGTTGCCCGGTGGCCGGCAGTGTTTGCTTCATTGCCCGCCTGCATCGCAGGAGTCTGCTTTATGGACGGTGCTCCGCCAGAAGTAGCGGTAAACCATTCTCCGCGCTTGCTTTTTTTTTTTTT